GTTCTGGTTACGTTGTCGTTTCAGGGTGGTAAGAAAACCCGGAGGATTGAGATAATTCATGCCATAGGATTCTCCTATGTGCAGTAAAAGTGCAGAAAAGGGCAACTCGAATGATAAAAGGGTTGGAACACTTTCCTTATGAGGAAAGGTTAAAGTGCTTGGGGCTCTTTAGCTTGGAGGAACGACGGCTGAGGGGTGACATGATCGAGGTTTGCAAGATTATGCATGGGATAGAGCAGGTAGAGAAAGAAGTACTTTTCTCCCTTTCTGACAATGCAAGAACTCAAGTGGGTACTCAATGAAATTGCTGAGCAGTCGGGTTAGAACAGATCAAAGGAAGTCCTTCTTTACCCAACACATGGAACTCACTGCCACAGGAGGTGGCGGCGGCTAGAAGCATGGACGGCTTCAAGAGGGAATTGGATAAACCTATGGAGCAGAGGTCCATCAGTGGCTATTAGCCACAAGGTATAGATAGGAACTGGGGCAAGTGATGCTCTGTATTCTTGGTGCTTGGGGGGGGGGGCAGCAGTGGGAGGGCTTCTAGTGTCCTGGCCCCACTGCTGGACATCCTGAGGGCACCTGGTCTTTTTGGCCATTGGCCACTGTATGACAGAGTGCTTGGACTGGATGGGCTACTGGCCTGATCCAACAGTGGCTTCTCTTATCTGTCCCTTATATATAAAGCCGTAGTCGCCTCCAACGTTCGATGTGCACCAACAGTGTTTGGCCGCACGAACTGTCACTCAAAACCTTCCCCAGATTCCCCTATCCATTGGCTGCGTCGCCTAAGTCCCACCCCAGAACACGGACACTGCAGCCCTGTCTCTGCGCCCGGTCCCCTCAGAAGACAGACTATTGCCGACAGGGTGAGTGGAGCCTTTGGGGGAGCAGTTGAATGGCAGCGACGGCGGCACTGCACCGGCCGCTGCAGGCCCGTTTTCGCCGCTCCCTCCCCAGCTTTGCAGCCCTTCGGGGGAGCAGTTGAAAGGCGGCGGCGCTGAGCTGCCTGCCGCGGGCCCGTTTTCGGCGCCCCCCTTCCACGAACTTTGGGGGGAGCAGTTGAAGGGTGGTGGTGGCGGTGACGCTGAGCCGGCCGCCGCAGTCTTGTTTGCCGCCTTCGAAGGTCGTCGGGGGCAGCAGTTGAAGGGCAGCCTCGGCGGCAGCGGCGCTCAACCGGCCGCCACAGGCCCATTTGCGCCATTTCCCCCCACCACCACCCACTTAGCGGCCCAACGGGGGGAGTAGTTGAAGGGTGGCGGCGGCGCTGAGCCGGGCACCACAGGCCCGTTCGCACCGTTTCCCCCCACACACTTGACGGGTGGCCTCGGCGGTGGCGGTGGCACTGAACCAGCCGCCACATGCCCATTTGCGTTGCTTCCACCCCCACACACACACACTTTGCGGGCCGACGGAGGGAGCAGTTGAAGGCTGGCTTCGCAGGCCGTCGGGGGGGGGAACAGCTGAAGGGCGGGGGCGGCGCTAAGCCGACCGACCAAGACCCGTTTTCGGCGCTCCACCACCACCACCCCGGCCGGCTACGCAGGCCTCTGGGGGGGAGCAGGTGAACATTCCAGTCACACCTTTGAGACCAAGTTTTTAGGCAGCTGCACACTACACCTCCTCTGTGAGGGAGAATCCAAACACTCCAGTGCCCCCTTTCAGACCACATTTCCTTCAGGTACCTGTTCACCCTCCTTTGCGACTGCAGATCTCCATCCCCCCCCCAAGACTCAAAACAGTCCAATGGGACCTTAAAGACCAGGTTTTATTCACGTACACGCTCACCCTCTCTGGGGCTATTCTTTTTTCCCCCACTCCCCAGAGCCTTCCAGCGATGTGGGAGATATCGCCTCACACCACTTCTCCCGCCTGCCCCCCCTTCTCCCGCCCGCACAGCTAGCCAGACAAACGGGATAAGCTCTCTCCCCCCCATGCTGCTTTTCCCACCCGC